AACTTTTTCTCTTCGTCCAGTTTTTGTCCCAATTGGGTTTTTGTAGCAAGATTTTTAACGAGGTAGCAACGGAAAACATACTACGAAGAAGGTTTCAATAGAAGCAATAAGACCTTCAATAGCGAGACACACAAGCAAAGAACTACTCCGGAGCTGTTAGATAATCTTTGGCTCGATAGCAAAATTCACACGAAAAATTAAGTTTGCTATCAAGCAAAGGTTACACGATCGTTTACAAGTGTAAACCACTAGGGGATTATTAGATATTCTTTTGCTCGGTAGCATAAATTCCTAAGTGAAAATGAAGTTTTGTTACCGAACTAAAGATTATCTAGCAATTCATTAGTGGAGTCCTGGAAGGTGTAAAACTTTCAGTGTTCCAATTCGCATTCGAACACTGGAGGGGAGGGATGATATGAGGATACAACAACAATGTCTGCCAAGTCGACCGGAATACAAAACTGAAAACATAGTTATATCTTCGTGACCAGGGATTGCGCCACCATCCTCGTAGAAACAAGTTGTACAACTTAGCCACAAGAAATGACAGTTTCTTTTTAGCATAACGAATGCTTATGTACTTTTAGAAATGGAAGAAATAAAGAAAAGTCTTTTTATTTCTATCTTGTTTCTTGTTTGAACAATGAATTGATTTTATCATTTGAAAGTTAAACAAGTACTTCAAATGCTAGTGGCATAATAAACAGGAGACATCCTCTTCAAGAGCACCGTAAACATAAGAGGGCCCTCTCTTATAAAAACCCTCACGATAAAAGGTTGATTTAGGAAGAACTTGTGCCTGAGATACAAATGCTTTTGGGTGAAAAATACACCCAAGGCCTTACATAATCAGACGCAACCAATAAAACTTGTCCAAAACAATAAAAGCAAGAAAGAATGCAAAGATTAAAACTTACATAAATGTTCAAACAAAAGAACGCATGAATACTCATGCAATACTTGAGCAAAAGATGTTTTTATTCACGATAAACATGCCAAAACGGCACAGGAACAAAAGTTGGGAAAAGAAAGGAAAAGCTAAACTGTTGCATCTCAGGAACTTGGAGGAAGAGAAGCGTTTGTGCCCCTAGGGGAAGTGGGTAGATCCGCTGATGGCTCAACATCTTGGCCCTCATCAGTTTGGCCTTCAGCATCTTCATCCTCTAGTTCCTCTTCAGTTCCCGAGGTCTCGGAATCGGAACTAGAAGAATCGAAAGCATCAGGCCTTGCTGGGAGACCCCTTTCAGCAGCTAACTCTAGCTAACGGGCTTTAGGGATTTCGATATCAAAGTCAATGATACCCACTTTAGCCTCTTCCAAGGTTTTTCTCCTCTTGTTGTACATAATATACATTTTTTCAACAACGAGTGAAGCTGCTCGACGCTTGGGTTCTTCTTTAAGTTGGTTAACCTCGGTAGAAAGGTTTTCCCAGGCGGACTTAATGGACTTGAGGCTAACATCGAGTTCGCGGACAGTAGAGCTAAAAATTCTATTATGATCAATGGTCTTCTTATACATCCCTCCAATTGGGCGTATTTCACCCCGCAACAGCAAGCTCTTCAATTTTGGAGTTCAAAGCTGCCTCCAGGTTGGTCAATCTCTTAGCGGAGGCAGCCTTGTGATTGGATGCAGCAAGAACAACACTATGGACTTCAACCCATTTGGCCTTAGCCTCTTCAAATTGAACCATTAGTGGGGCAATCTCTTGGCTAAGGGTTTTCACTTCTTGCTCGCTTTGCTGCAAACAAGCCTCTAACACAACAACCTCGGCAACTTTGGCTTCCAGTTCTGAGAGGCGACCAACAGTTTGGTCCCGCTCGGCCAAAAGTTGATCCCACTGGGAGGTAAGTTCTTCTTTTTCCCGAATCAACCCCCGGAGGCTCTCGGAAGCAAGGAAATTAGCCTGCAAAACAAGAAAGATGAACTCAAGATACTTATTCAATCAAAGACATGAGAAATGAAAAAGGAAATGAAGAGTGTACCACTGCAGCGTTGTGCATGGAATTGTTCAACAAGCATTCTCTTTGAAAGAGCATGTATCTTTTTCCCAATCTTTTTCTTAAGCCAAAGGCTTCAGATAGTTAGCGAGTTCTGCCGGCTGGGACAACAAATTGCTTCTGGTAGAGATCGAGAGAGTAATATTCCTCCTCCTTTTACGGATCTTCTCAGGGGGATGTATAATTTTGCCCCAAATTCCATAAACTGGGGACTAGGGGAACATCCTTTTCTCGGATAGATCTGGATGGTGGAGATGATGTAGCAGTTGTTGGTGGAACAGTTAGTGAAGAAGGAGATAAAGCTAATGGCGCTGAAGGTTGAGAAGCAACTGTGGCAAGCGCAATGCTAGTTGTTGGTTGCTCGTCAACCGAATATGGTAGGGACCCGGTAATCAGCCACACAATGTCGGGCACAATGACTGAGATATGGAAATAAGACTTGGCATTTTCCACCATTTCAAACTCCCCCAGAGCGTCGAGGCATCATCCTCGGGTGGTGTAACTAACTCAACAGATTGAGCAGTCTGTTGAAGTAAGGAAGATTGTCGTCTTCTATATAGAGAAGCCCCCACCTCGCTAGCTTCTCCATCATCGTCAATCATCACGGTATCTATGGCTGACC